TTGAGACTCTACCTACTTCCATCTCTAAATTGAAGAATCTATCTACCCTGCGGTTACAGCTTTGCAAGAAGTTAAAGTACTTGCCTTCCTTGGCAAACCTCAAGGGATTGAAGAAGTTGGACTTGCACAGGGCAGGGATTGAGGTGCTCCCACAAGGCATGGAGATGTTGATAAGTCTTGAATATCTTGATTTGTTATTTTGTCCAAATCTGAAAGAGATTCAAACAGGAATATTACTTAACCTTTCCAGTCTCCAGTATTTGGCTATTTGTTTTTTGCGAGAAATTACAAGAGTGAGAAATTTTGAAGAGGTTGCTAGACTGAAGAAGTTGGAGACTTTAGAATGTAACTTTGATGACATACAAGACTTCAATTCTTTTGTCAACAAGTTCAAAGATTTCCAAAGGGCTATTGCTTACAGTCTTCTAGTTGGGAGTGCAGAAGACATGCTTAGAAGGAGCAAACATGAGCTTGTAATTACTGATTGCGAGATCGGGGAAGAATGTATAGTGCTTCCAAATAAGCTTGAAGATTTGTGGATAATTAGGCTTAAAAACATGGGAAGCAGCTTAAGCAAAATAGCTCTGTTAGAAAAAGCAAATGAGTTGAGGACGTGCAATATTTTCCGTTGTGAAAAGATAGAGTGCGTGGTTGAGTTGGACTCATCCTCCTCCTCCTCCTCATTGCGTTGTCCTGTATTTGATAAGCTTGAAGAGCTGTCGCTTAATGGATTGCCTAGGTTGTGTGAACTTGTGAGAGTGGAAGGAGAAGCAACACCACCGAACGTCTTTTCCAATCTTAAAAAGCTTTGTGTAGCGAATTGTTGGGGAATAAGGAAGTTGCTTCCAGTTGAGCTACTGCAGGCCCTCCAAAACTTAGAGTCGATTACAATTTTTTTTTGCCATCAAATGGAGGAGATAATAGCATCATTAGATTCGGAAGCATCATCATCGAATAAATTCACTTTCACTTTTCCTAAGTTAAGGGAATTGTGGTTGTGGGACTTACCCCAATTGAAGAGCATCTGCAATGCCAAAGGAGTTATGGTTTGTAATTCTATTGAAGCAATTGTAATGCATCAGTGTCTGAAGTTAAAGAGAATCCCTGTGCAACTTCCCCAACTTGATAACGGCCAACCATCTCCTCCTCCACATCTCAGAGAAATCTGGATAGATAAAAGTTCAAAAGAATGGTGGGAATCAGTGGAGTGGGATCATCCTAATGCTAAGAACCTCCTTCAACCCTTCTTGAAATCTACTTAGATAACCGTGGGATTGAGGGTAAGGTGTTGATCGATTTACTACTATTTAATTCTAATTTGAATTTGCTTTGGTAATATATTACAGTAAATTGTTGAAAATTTGAGAAATAATTTGTGTAGATTGAAGTGAAGAGCTGCAAACTACAAATGTAAAGCCACGTGCCACCTCAATAACACGTGCCAATAAAAGCATTTCCACAGTTCCTTCATTCCTCCCCCAACAAAAACAATTGGGTATTCTAGAAGAGAAAGAGATGGATGTGTCTGAGATGGAAACAAAGATGTCCCCAGCCTCTGCTCCCTCACAAGCTCTAACCAGTAAGTGTTTAGATTTCATTATCTTTATTTTGACTTATTGTAACTCTATTTAGTTTTTGTGTTTGGATTCATATTCCATTTTTCTTATTTAACAAGATAAAATTATGGGTGATAAAATTGTTTAATATCTGTGGTTGGAGGAACATTAATAGTATTTCTTTTTTTATTCGATTTTTTTGATATATTTTTTATTTAACTTTATCTGGATAGTCTTTTTTATTTATAATTTTTCTATCATTTGCAATCCTGTGTTATTTTAGTTGCTAAAAGAAACAATTTCTGTAGTTCCAGAGAAATCATCAACTTTCCCAATAAATCACAAGCCACCGACAACACGTTCCGGTAAAAGCCTGTACTCAATAACGAAAAGATTGGCTAGAAAATTACGTGCTAAACTGAAGAATCAGACCTCAAAGAAAGTGTCAAACATCCAAACACTAGGTATTTTGACTTGATTATTCAATTCCACTCTCTTCATTTTCTTATGCTTCTTAATTTCTATGTATTCATTAGGGTTTTATTGAATTTTTTTCTGTTTTATATTTTGTTCTTTTTATAATTTGGTTTTGGGGTAAGCTTGGCTGAAAATGAGCCCCCTTTAATTGCCAGGTATGCTAGCTCCGGTAAGCCCTCAAGGAGAGGAAGTTTTTAGGTTTCTGGGTATGCTTTTTTTTTGTTTGTAATCTAAAATTTTTGTATAAGAGTTTCTGATAAAAATTGGTATCATCAGGCTTCCTACAAAACTTTTTGGTGTCATGATCATGAATTGTGCAAAGAGGTGAATTTTTCCTTTCCAAGAATGCAGTTAAAGTTCATATTCACAAGTCACAAGCATGGAGAAACATACTCATGATTGCAATCTATTTAGGTTACATGAAGAGTTTGTTTGAAAAACATGGCAGTGGGTTGGGAAAATTATATGCTATTGTCAGATATTTTGATTTTATTTTTTTGGTAACAGTACATATCTTGGTTGATGATGGTTCTTGTTTACTTCAGGTTATTAAGCTTAAAGTTTGTACAAGGGGATGTTTCTCATAAAAATTAGCATAATATTCTGGCTTCCTACAAGTGGCTGAGTTGTTTCTTTTTGGTGTCATGAAATGTTGCAAAGAGGTGAATACCTTTCCTCTCTAAGAATGTAGTGAAAGTTCACATTCACAAGTCACATGCGTGGAGACACATATTAATGATTTATTATTTGTTTAGGTTACTCATGGAGCTTGTTTGGAAAACATGGCAGTGGGTTGGAAATAGTCTATACCTTGTCTTCTCGGTTGATGAGTAGTCTTCCAAGTTACCATATGAGGCTTCTTAGAGGACTTAAACTCATAGGTTAGATTTTCCTTAAAAATGGCATATGGTCTCAATCTCATCATTAACAATTTTCATCTCTTCAGTTATTAGTTATTTCTTTTACTTCATATGGTGGATTAGCCCCAATCTAAACTTCTAAACCCCCTCCCCAAATCCATACCCAAATCCAAATGTGTTTCAGGAGTACAATGAGTCAATTGAGTCCAACTAGGCTCCCTTCATGGTGGAGTTTGATTCATACCTTGAAACATATCATACTATCTTGAGATGACTGGTGAACCTTGTTGCTATAACCAAACATGGTAAGAGCTAGGAAGGAGTTGATGTGTTAATGCTTGAGAGCTATATCTAATGGATGCACAAGTGTAACAAGCCTCAGATCAATGCTATGTAAGTTTCTAGTTTTCAATCTAATGCTTTCTATTCCATCCAATTTCTTCTACTTTTTGTGAACCTTGTTGCCATAGCCAAATACAGCAGGATCTAGGAAGGAGTTGATGTGTTGGTGCTTGGAGCTATGTGTGGTGGATGTACAAGCATATAGAACAAGCTCCATGTCAATGTTATGTAAGTTTCTGGTTTTTGATCTAAGGCCTTCTATTCCATCCAAATTCTTTGGTTTTTGTGCTCCTAGAGCAAGTTTTTTATTTTGAAATCCAACAGGTTAATTTAAGTTCTAACTTTCTTCTTGGGTTTTAGGTTTTTTTCTTGTCTTTTTCTTTTTCAATTATGGAACTCCAAGGATTGTTCAAGAATATAATGTGACAACTACTTGTAGAATTAGAAACTTGGGCAAATTGGTTAGAATCCAACATCAGTCCTCTATGTCCCCAACACACATCTATGGTATGTTTCACTTGCTATTTTCTATTAAGAAACATCCCAAATCCCCAAATTATGAAGATGATGATATTATAGGGAGTTATCAAGCTGTTATAAACCCTTTTGATAAAGTAGAAGAAGTTAATCCTTTCTATGTTAATCCTTTATTCTTTTCAAATTTATATGATTTTGATTACTGATCAATGATTGTGAATTTGTAGAACCGTTCAGGGCTTTCACCTCTTCCTCCAGAACCAGTTGCTTTCAACAATGGTTGTGATGCAAATCATGATATCTCTCTTGCTATAGTTACTAGACCCAATTTTAAGGTTAGTGTATTTATTTAATTCTGTCTCCCTGCATGCCACTTCTTGCTTGTTTTATGAAAGTGAGCAATGATTATGGTTTTCTGATTTACACTGTTCAAATTATCTTAGGAATTGAAGAGGAAAGGGAGGGAGATTGGCCATGGTAGTTGAACGTAACCAACAACAGGAGGTATATCACGGAGATTGAACTTGTGAAACATGCAGACTCTTACAAGTTTCACTGATCTGTTTCTTTTAGGATATACAACACAGGAAGTGAAGCAGGAAAGAAGAGGATTTAGCAAGAGGTAACTTGCAGTTTATGCTATAGTTTGTTGATTACTCATAATATCCACGTAGTGGCCTGTTTCTATTTCCTTTTATGGTCAATTAGCCTTTCATTCGTGCCATGACAATCTAGAACTTTCCTTGTGATTTTTTGTTCTGCAGATTGGCCACCATTTGCCCCAGTTGTTCATAATGATATTGCAAATGATATGTTGATTTATTGACAAAAGTTGATGTTTATTGCCCTTCCATCATTCTTAGGTATGCAAGCTTTTTGCATTTTTACTTTTCGTTGTGGTTATTTTACCCTTGCATTTTGGTAGATTATATTTATTGATTGAATTCATGCAATTGATACATGATGTTATTTATAGTTATCGATCAATGCCTCTATTGAAATATGTAATGATTGGTAAATTTATTTTTTTTCCTTATGCAGGATTGGTTATGTGCTTTTTCTGGAATGACATAATTGCTACTGTAGCATGCATCAAAGGGGAAAGATGGAAGCATCATACTGGGGAATTGGATCTCGTCTTCCCATCATGATGATAGTTCGCAACATCTTACAAGAACTAAAGATCAACCATTACTGTTTTGAACATATACACAATTGTCAAAATATCAAAAACATGTTCATATATCTATTTATGCCTTATGGTGAACAGAAGGGAAAAACTCTTGACAGGAAACAGAGATTTGACGCTAAAGATTTTGCTGATTGTGTTTTCATTGGTTTTTACTCGGACTATCTAATACATGTAATGAGATTATGCATGCATATTTGTTGAGCAGTTGTAAAAATCTTTGTGATCTATCTAAACTTTCTTTTTGGGTATCTGATAATACACTTTCTATCTGCGTACTCTGACTTTTTTTACGCACTACTTTTCGTGTTTTCTTTAGGTCATTATCTTGCTTTTACAAAAAGTCAAAAACTCAAAAAATATAATCTATTATTTCAAATAACTAGAGTAATAAAAATTAAAATTTTTTTCACAAAATTATTGGGAGAAAGGATGTGATTATTATTATTATAAGAAGTGTTAAAGTTATTAATTTTTATTTTTAATAAATAGTGTTTAAAAATA